TGTGCAAACATCTGAGTAATCCTTAGCTATCAGCTACATACAGGTCCGCTCAGTTATCGGCTCATCTAGATAAGAAAATCATGTGTAATACATGCTGTAACTTTGTTCAGATTGAGACGCACATTTCAAAATATGGACTACATATATCACAATGGCTACTCAGGAAATATTCATGGAACTGTGTAACAGTAGCAGCATGGGAATCTGATAACTAGGACCCGTATTCCCATCTGGGAACCTCTTTAATGCTGGCAGTGATAGATCTAACACCAATACTCAACATTGAAACCATTCAAGATTTGGTCTTCAGTATAGTACAAACTAGCATTTTTTCTGTGCCTACACAATTGGCACCCAGCTACCACAAAGGTTTGAGACATAAATATCTCGGCTTGAAATGTACATCCAGGAACACACTTTATCACTCTTTTCTTTTTTTCTCATGGTGTTGTAACTGAGATCATTGTTACATTTGTATTCTCAGAATCTGTTACTTATCTGATAAGTGATTGGGGTTTCAGCAAGAACATTTTCAAAAGAGAGGAATTAGAACTTTAAGAGTCACTTAATTTTTTATATTCTAATGAATTCAACAATGGAAACTCTGGTCTTTAGTCAGCTAATGAGGTGTGAGATGTGCAACAGGATGTTGTGGGGTCACTTGGAATGGCCAAACATGGTTCAAAATGGAGTTTAGGTTGAACTTGTGGTCAATTTACAAAGTGAGAGGCTCTAGATTGGGATGTAGCATACAAATCAACTTGATACTTGCATGTTCCTCTGTGGGCCCACCCCAAGTAGTGAAAGATGGCTTGAGACAATGTTAGCACAATCATTTAAGACATGCAGTACATTGGCCTGCCAGTGACCATCAGTTGGGGGCTGCACCTTAGATTTTGATTCATCATCATGCTTACCATCCTAGTTTAGTTTCTAGTTACACTCTCAATAATTGGTTGTGATGTCCGCATATTATCCCATTCATTCACCCAGGGTTGATACACAAGGATTAAGATTCCCTCAGATCCTTCCTCAACATCAACATCACAGAACCAAATGTCCTGGTTGCCTCACAATACAATGTAAGTCCTTGGAGTCATGTTGAGCAACTGATCAGCACAGAAACTTTCTTACATATACTCTCATGAACTGAGGAATGTCCAGCAAAACTTGTTCACAACAACATGCAGCAAAAAATGTGTTAGGTGTATCATACTCTTGAAAAAACTTCCAATGTGTTTGTTACTGTACACCTTGACCTGAATTGAACCTCAACAAAAAAATGACAAAAAAAGCTGGCAAATTGAACTTAATGACATACTGATGATATATAACTACAACAAGGAAGTGGAAAACCATTCACCATGTCTGTCTCCTTGTAGCACATCAATATGCACACACACATAGGACTTTTGATCTGCTGACAAAGGATCCTGAAAATTCTATGACCAAATGCTCATCCACAAAGAGGGCTCAACCACAATGTCAGTCTAATTCCAACCAAAAGACTTTCAAATCTGTCCCCAAACTCTGCGTCTGTGCACCTCAACATGTTACAAAGGATACTGACATAGTGATTATTTACAAGACTTCCAAAGAAGTGAACGTATCACAAAAATTTTGTCAACCTGAAGGCCCAAGCTTGGTAGTTGAGCAATTTCCAATCAAAAGTGCTATCAAAGCAAAAAAGTGTCTATGTAGGATGTGCTCAAGACCCGCAAGCAGTATTAAAATCCCAAGATTCTCTGAGTAGGCTCAGCTTACTTTGGATGACCCCTAAATTATCATCCAACTCACCTTTAGAGTTCCCTTCCTCCTTCAAAAAATCTTACCCATCATAGCTTACCAAAAGGATTGCTCAGCAACCAAGATATGATTGTTCCTCAAAGAATTCCTCAAAGAACAATCATTCTTTTAGCACCACTTTTCATCAAAAAAGCTCAACCACCATGCTTGGCCCTCT